TTGAGCCTCCTGTCAACCAGCAGGTCAGGCTAGGTGATCAGGCTTCTCCTGGCAGATTACATCTGCCATCAGCGCAAAAATGGAATCTGGCTTTTTCAATTGGCAAATGCTGCTATGAGCTATTTCCTTTAACAATGATTCACAGCACATTGTCAACATAGCTACCACCTCCTGCTCTGCGAAAGCATTAGGCATGCGGGAATTAAAAGCTTGGAAAGCCTAGGGCTTGTCTTGTTTAGACTAACCTATTCTAGCTGCTGCCTTTGCATATTAAGCACTCCTTGCCCTTCCCGAAACAGGCTGTACCAATCCCACTTTATGAATCCCCATTTGCCATCAGAAGGTGCCTACAGAGGGGAAGAACATGTTTCTGAGCTGCACAAAACCCACATTCCTCAGGATACAGCAAGTCAGCCTTGTTCTGGTTTAGAAGAGCTGCAGACACATGGCAGAGCCCCGAAGTGTGGTAGGGTCCTATTTCAGCAGCATTGAGTACATTTCTCTATGGATCAGGGGCAAATGTATCATGCTTTCGGATGTCTGCTTTTGAGAGCACTGCCTTCTGGACTCCGCAGGGCTGGTCCCCGTGATGTGCAGTGGGTCCACCCTGAGAACTTCACTCTGCTTCCCGGGGCTGACTTCCGAATCTCTGGACTTTCCTTCTTTCCATCTCATGTAATAAAGCTTGTCTTTTCAAAATACAAGGTGGGGAGGGGACAGGGTGTCAAGATTTGGAAATTCAAAACACTACTAATGCTGGAAGTTCTTCAAGGCTACAATCTTACATTTAACACGCTACTATCAAAAGATCAATTAGAAGTGGGCTTCCCTTCTCATTATGAGTTTCGGTATTACAAAAAGAGGCAAGAACTTCCTCCTGAAGATTAGAGATGAGAGGAAGCTATAAGTCGTCCTCAGTCTAGAGTACCATTTTAAAAAAAGCAGTGAGGGAAAAAAAGGAGAAGGGGGAGAAAGAATGTCAGAAAATCTCATTTATACTGACTTGAACTGGACTGAATCAACCAGCCCCAGGCTACAGAAGGTCACTGATGTCCAAGGTAGGTCAATCGGTCTGCACTGAGCTTTCTTTGTATTCTTCAGCCTCCCTACCATACATATTGAAAGAGTGCCGTGGAGCACCAAAGCCCCAAAGAGGACGAAGGAAATATGGGGGGCAGAGCTATGAAAAATGCACAGGTGGGGTGTCCACGTAATTTTTTTACCAAAATAAAGGGGACTGTTATAAGGTCTACTTTTCATCTATTAAGGTGCAAACGTGAGGGGGAGTTTCTTGTGTGATATTGAGTAGTTTGTATCAATTTTGGCAATTATTCCACAGCTGAATGTCAATTGTTTCTGAACCAGGCGTGTTCTCATGCAGCAGACTCTGATTCCTGCAGCAAACCAATCAGGAGATTGAGTGCCTAATGTTTCTGTTGTTCAAAGCAGTCTCGTGCGTAGCCTGTTTCTGCTTGCTGAGTATAGTAGGCATTGCTTCAGGGTTTTTTCCTCCTGGCTTTGTCTGTACAATTTACTTGTTTAATAAATCAAGCATAAAATGTTTCATGGACAGATTTATTTTGATTTAATATAAATGAAATTGCAAAATTCTAACTTAAAATCCATCTTTCTTTAATGCACTAAGAATTATTACATAAACTTTTGCACTGGTTTTGCTACATCTCCATAAAATTACATCCTAAAATAACAGACTTCATACGCTTTATCTCTGTGTTTCACTTTCTTTTTTCTTCCCTTTCTTTTTAACCTTACTATCTCTTTGACAGAAATAGTAGTTTCTATTTCTTGCCATCCTGTGCTTTTCTTTTGCATAAAGTGTGATCCCTTGGCATCTATTTTCAGATGGCTGGAGTTTCTGATGCCCCAAGAAACAGTGTTTCTATCACCTCTTTCAACAGATTACTTCATGGCTAAATTGACAGGCACGCACAATAGATGCCACTTGATTAAAAGTTCAATTTTCCTTACAATTTAATCCATGTACTCCTACTTACAGCTTTTACACAGTTTTTATAGTATTTTTATGTTTCCTTGCTTGTGCCTTTCTGGAAAACCCCTATCAACTCTTTTCTTCTATGTGTTCACTTAATTTATGCACGGTATTTCCCAATGATTGCGCATATCTTACAGAAAAGAGCTCAAACACTGGCTTCTGTCTTCTTTTCTTTTTCCTCCAGGTTGCTATTTTCTCTTTGATAGTGCATTCCCTGGATCAAATGCAGTGTTCACAAAGGAATGAAATTAATTCCATAAGCCAGAAGAATGCACTTAAACTCATAGAAGACATTAACTCTGTGTGGTGATAGAAACAAAGGGGCTCAGTGCTGTATATCAGGATGACTTTGAATTTTGTATAAAATTGCAACATCATATTTCTTACTTTCTACCCCCTTTTTATGTGTCCTTGCCCTTCCTTCCCCACGTGCTTTCTGCCATGCTCATTTGTATTTATTGTCTGCGGACATTAGAATAGTTTTCACTTTTCTCACCATCTGAGCATTAACTAGTAACCCCTTCAAAATTAGCATGATTTGCAGTTTTCAGGTTTGCTTCAATATTGTAGCCATTCTCACCACTCACATATGGATGTGAATTGAATAAGACAATCAGACAACCTTAGACTTTTTTCTCCACTTCTGTTTAGATTTAAAATGCATGTGCATGTGCCCATGTCTCCTCTGTTATTGTCTGCACTGAAGATAAATCAGATCTGTTTCTGCTTATAGCAAGTCCTCTAAGATGTGAATGCAATGGGAAAAAATACTATCTGGGCATAGTTAAACACAGTCATATAAATCAGCTGCTGTCATGTGTTTAGCATTTCTCATCATTTCAGTCATTTTTGTTCTATTTAAATTGTTTCTCAACTTTCTCTGTTCTCTGTTATTTTTGCCTGGTTTTAGGTTCTACATATGCAGAAGTGAAAGTGCAATCCCTAGACACAAATGCTGCAGCTAGCTACACATCATCTGGTGAGTTTTTAGCTGTTGGCTAGAATGATATGAATTTAAACAATGAGAGGAGAGGAGTCTGTTCCTTATTTTCTAGAAATGCAGTGATATAAAACCGTATGGGAGGCAGGAAGATACAGTTGTCTGCTTTATATAGCCAGAGCAGGGGGCAGTTGATGTGTTGAGTTATATGCAACTAAACACTTGTTGGCTTCACTGGCATAGGAACACAAGGATATTTTGGGCCAGACCAATAAACCACCTAGCCCAGCCTCCAGTGGGCTATAACAGTGGATATACTTGAACAGCTAGAGATTAATAAGAAGAGGGTAGACATATATGATACCTTCCTGTAACACTTACTCATGCATGCATCTACTCAGGGACTTCCTGAGACAGATTTATTTCTATTTACATACTCTCAGTGGATTTCTTTTCTACAAACTTGCCCAATCTCCTCTTGGTTCTATACACAGCCCTGATTTCTATAACATCCTTTGAAGAGGGGATCCACAGTTCTTTTTGACATCACACAAAGAACCAGCTGCATTTTTTTACTCTGAGCTGGCCTTCTATTAGCTTCAGCCGATGTTCCCTGAAGGAGACAGTAAGTAGCCAAACCCTATCCAAGGTCTCCATGACACTCAAGATTTTATATAACTCTGACATAGCCTCTTCTTTGTCATCTCTTTTCCATACTGCAGAATTCTAATCTACACCATCATTTACTGCTTCCCTTCTCTGAACATTTTCCTATATGATTTTTGAAATAGGGGTAGTAGAACTGCATGCACCACTGAAGGTAGAGGTGAATTATGGATTTATAAAACCATGTGGCAGACAAAACATCCCTGGTTTTTGTTCATTTCCCTTCTGAATAATTGCTAATGTGCGAGGTTGTAGAGTCTTCCTCCTAGGAGATATTCAAAACCTGACTGTGCATGGTCCTAGACAGCCTGCTCTAGCCGACGCCGCTTGAGCAGGGAAGATGGACTAGGTGATCTGAAAAGGTCACTTCCAACCTAAAAGGTTCTGTGACTGTGTGGTCAGGACAGCAGACCTGAAGTTCACAGATCTCCTCTAGAATTTTTTTATTTTCCATTTTTAATTCACATTAGGTCTGTTACCTTCTAGTCCCTGGGTGCAAAGATAGCTTTCAGAGTGGGATTACAAAACGGCACTAGGAATCCAGCTATCTCACACCTAATGTCTCTTGAAATTTGTTACTATGTCAATTTTTTTATTTGGGCCATAGGTTTTCCAGTTCATGTGGCTCCTCACACAAGGAACTGCCCTGAAATGGAAGATCTACCCAGTTCTTACTCAGTCAACCCTGATACGAGGGATTAATTTAGCTTCTCTACTACGGCCTTATCTTCTGAATGCTTCCTGGATAGCCTACAATCCACTGGCCTACAGATCTCCAGCAACATACCTTCTCTTGATGTGTTTGAAGACACAGTGTGTTGGAAATACATGTGCTTGAAAACATGTGTTTGAAGTCTTCTTCTCAAGTTCTTTTCTGTCTAATTGGTTTTTCTTATATATAATCTTTGATCTCCCAGGGTTTGTGATACTTTCTATTTTCTTCTTTCTTCTTCATTTGATGTCTACAGCTTTGGAAAGTTAACAGTCTGTTTCTAATAGCTGTGTCACCTTCCTTTTACCTGTTCCCAGATCATTCTTAGTAAGTGCATTGTATTGGCCATGCGTTGCCAGGATGCTATACTTCAATAATATATAGTCTGCCTGTATGGATTTAATTCTCTCTTAGCAGCCCTTTTTAGCTTCTTCTTAATAAGCTTCCTGTAGTTCCCCTCTTTTACCCATTAGCACTCTATTTTTCCTTATGTAGTCTAGTACTATGATGGCTCTCTTCCTTTTAACCACTTCCCCATATACATAGCATATTGGGATGCTGTTCAGTTGCCTAACCACAGGTGTCCAGAGCCATCTGGGAAGCATCAGGACATTCAGTCTGGCTTCCATATGCAAATCTAGAAGGCCACAGATTCTTGGAGGTCCTGTGTAACATCTTCCAGGTCTGTGCAGTTATCTGATACCTGAGGGTATCGCAGCTGGCAGAAGCCACCCATTTTCAGGTACCTGACATCTGAGTATTTTAGTCTAGGGTGGGACATTCCAGGTCTTCCCATCTTTTTTTTCAGACTTCCAGTATATGTGTAGCAGCAGGTGTGCCATAGCTGTAGTTTGCTTCTTAACGCTTTATTTAAATGACAGACAGTTTTGCATTTTCTGCTTGACTATTTCGACACTCTGATCTTTACTTTTCCTGAGGACACAGTGTTTTTGAAGTCACACATAATGGTAATATCACCCTACACTGCTCTTTAGCCCATGTCAGCTTCCCTTTCCTCATTTTAAGAGATACTTACAAACTTCAGCCCCTGCCAGTTTGCTCTTATTAATTTTAAAAGTTACTTAAAACCTTCTAGATGTCACGTCCAGCAGCTTGACTCCCTTATAGTTAAGATGAAATCTGTTCCTCCAGAGTGTTTGGACACACTGCACCAGATGTGTCCCAAATTCCTGAAGAATCAGAAATCTGGATCCTTACCCCATCTTCTCAGCCAGGTGCTAAAATGCTGCCTTTTCATTTCTCCCTCCAGTCCTGCATAGGGTACTGGGACCATTTCTGGAATTGCCACCTTAGGATTCCTGGTCACCAACTTCCTTCCTACAAGCTTCCATTTTGCCACTAAAACTTCTCTCTGCCCTTCCCAGTCTTGTTGGTAACCACATGGACCAGTGTATCAGTAGGTAGCTTGCACCTATCAAATAGATTTGTTGATTAGTGCAATCAACATGTTTTCAGGGTGCAACCGTTTCCTGACCAAACCTCCTCAGGCAGAAAACTTGACAGCACAGAGTTCTTCTTGTGTGCCTTCTTCTTTCAAAGACTGATTTAAAATCAGTCTAGTTTAATACTATATTAAGTATGACAGCTTCTTAGCATTTCAGTAATTCAAATAGTAATGCACAAGTAGGTGTGAAAATGCGGTTACCAAACAGAACAGACCAGATATTGACTGCAGTTAGGATGAAGATTCAGGATGGCTTCCTCATTTATCTAAAACTGTTTACTTTACAGAGCAGGGGTAAGAGCAGCAAAAACCTCAGTTTGGTTTTCAGATCCTAGTTGTCACACAGACACCATAAACTTCAAAGATAGCAGAAGGGGTAAGTAAATACTCTAGCAGATATGCGAAGCAGGAAGAGCTGGAAAGCTCTCCTTTACCTTTTAATTCAGTGTCTGATGAGTCCAGTCAGCCACTGAACTTATTATTTGTCCCCTCTTGGACCTGCTTGTGCTCTATAGCACCCGGCCAGTATCCACTAAGTTAGCAGACTAAAGAATACTGAAAGGATCCCCCTGAAGTAAATCCTGAACAAAAGTCCATAAACAACAGTCAAAACAGAAAGAGGATACAGTTCAACTCCTCTGAAAAATTTGCTTTGTTAGGGTGTATAACATGGCAGGACCTTTACCTGGTAGTTGGCTGGGTTTTGCTTCCATAGTATTTTCAGAGGGCAGATAAGGATCCCAGTAAGCACTTAACTCGATTAGTATCAAGTGCAGCAGAATTTAACAAAGTATTCCAGGCAAGGGCAGAAGGGTTCAGGTTGAATGTCTGCCATGGAAAAAAAAAAAGTGTCCACAATGTATCTATCACAAGAAGAACAAACATCAGAGGGGACAGCACTGAACGGCTTTGCCTAACTCAAAATGAGTTGTCTGTCTCAAGCCTGAAAAGGGCATCTTTGAATGAAGACGAAGGGTTCCTTTCCCAGTCGTTCCCTAATCTTTATTTTTGCTGTCTATCTGCAGGTAAAAGCTTTTGCTCCAGAACACGTGTCGCTATATTGGTTGCTGTGATAACCCTCCTACTGGTCTTAGCGGTGTGTCTGATACTCATGTGTAAGTAAGTCCTGCTAAAAATGTAATAACTGCAATTAATTTGTGACTCTCACCCACTGACTGACATCTAAGTCATGGCATCCAAAACCACTAAGAACAGAAGGCTAGTTTGAAGGCACAGTAGTAGTAGTAGTAGTAGTTTTTAGCCAACCGTGGCTGTAAGAAGAAATCCATAAAAGAGTTGAGTGGTTTGAAAGCTTAAAATTCCAAAAGAAAAAAAAGCCAAAACCCAATTACAAAACCTGACAATGTTCAAACAATAAAGAATTTATTATACAAATATTTTGAAGAAACAAGTAAAGATTAGATAATACCTATAAGTAATATGATTGCAATCCATGAGCATATTTCAAGTAGATGATCTTACAAATATTGAAGAAACAAGTAAAGATTAGATAATACCTATAAGTAATATGATTGCAATCCATGAGCATATTTCAAGGAGATGATCTTGTATCATATCAAGATGTCCATAACTCCAAAAATCTTTTTTTAACTATGAATAAAAGCTCATTTGAAAGAGGTAGCTAAGTCACAACTTAAAGGAATTTGTTTGCGCTTTACTCGAATAAGAGCCTAGTACTAGGTCTCTCTGCATATATATCACTGAGTTCATAACAATCTTTGAACTACACAAAAAGTTGTTTGTTTTTTTTTTTAGAAATAAAGCATTCTTACCTCCATTAGAAAAAAACAAATTTTAATAGAGCCATGTGGTACTTTCCTTTGAATATTTTCAAGGAATCATTTTAAGATTTCAGATGTGGTTGCTTGTTTCTTTTCATCCTTTGATAGTTGAGCAAGCTTAAGAGGTTTCCACAATCAATCACACTCAAGTCCCAGAGTTTGCCACCTACTCAGAGGTGCACATGGAGACATTCTTTGCTCTTTGTGAACATGACAAAATTTTTGATCCATAGAACTTAAAAAATAAGGTTGGGGGAGGTAATTGTTTTTTCTTTTTTTGAGGTAAAGAGTAAAGGACAGATGTCTGATAGTGCTCTGACCTTTATAAAATGTAAAATACCACAGGAAGGGCAAAATTAAAAAAAACAAACAAACAAACAAAACAACACAACATTGCAAGGTGAAACTACCAGCATTTAACAGAGCTTTAAATCAGGAGTTGAATGAGGGGTCATTAGACTTTGATTCAGGTCTGGCTTCAGTTAGTTACTTTGTTGGGTTCAGTACTGCCTCAGTGAACTGAAAAAATACTCCTAAGAAACTTGAGATCTAGATCAAACTTGAGAGACTAAATCAAATTAGTTTTTAATTTCAATAGCATGCAGTTTTCACTTGTACTCCAAATGAAAACTGTTACCATTTTGACTGTTTTATTTCTAAGTTTTAATTTTATATGAGTTTTCCATACGGTTTTGTTTTGCCAAATATACTGTTGTTGACAAACAGCTTGTTTAAATGAACTAAACTGTCATCTCTTGATATTGCTCCATCATACAAGAGCTCTGCAGGCCAGAAGGCATTTTCCATTTCTGTTCATGAAAATGGCAATAATTTTACTCAGTGGAACCTGACCAGAAATTTTTGTGATTTTTATGGTAGTGTCATATTATTTTCTTTTTTCTTGACAGAATATTTAACTGCTGGTAAGTAAAAAATTGGCCCTGCAGTTCATGAGCTGGTCTTCCAAGAACAGGCAGGTCTGACTTTGTTTCAAATGCTCCTTCATATGAATTAAATTTTGCTCTTTTCTGAAACCAGAAGCTGATATCCAGCCTCAAGATTTATGCATATAAATGCATATATGCATGAAAAAACATACGATTTCCAACTGATTTTTCTGTTTTATTTTTCCCTGTTGCTCTAGGGATTCAGTAAAAGGCAAAAAAAGCCTTGATGTTTTCAATTAGCATATGACTAAAGCACCATAAAATTCACAGTGTTAAGTTGCTCCAATTAGAAAATAACACATTGTTGCTTTGTTAGGTTTCAGTGCCTTTGAACTCTTTTCAGTAATGCTGCTGTCTGAATCTGTCAGGCAGATTTCAGAGTTAAAGGTGACAATACTCCAGGAGAAAATCTTGACCCACCGTTTATGTGGGTTTATGTAAATTGATTTCCATCCAGTAGGAGAACAAGTGGGGTGGTGTTCATTTTTGTAATGCATACCAGTATGCATTCATTTCTAATTTTTCACAGAAATAAATGCTTTAAAATTATGTTTGTTAGGTAGTTTCAGTACCAGTATTTGGTACTATTATATATTAAGGACTTCAGGGTATCTTTACAAGTAATTCTGCAGGCTTCCATCCACAGGTTCAGGGTATATGTAAAACCCAGCTTCTTCATCTTCTAGAATGAAATGGTTCTTATATTTGTTCCTATTATGTTTTTGATAACTTTTTCTGAAGAGTAAATTCTCTTTCCCCCTCTTCCCCCCTCAGCTTTAACTTCATTATTTCCATCATGATTATCTGTTTTAATACTCCATAAAATATAATGCATACTTTATCATGTGTGTCTCTGTATACAGGCTTGGATGTAATTCTATATCCCAGAGCTTTAAGAACCTTTTTTTCAAATGTTCAGACATGCATCTTTCCTTGTTTTTTTTTTTTTTTTTAATAGTGATATCTAAAACTCAACTTCTCCTACACCAAAATATTGGAAGTTAATCCCTAAAAGGAACAGGGCAAATCATACAATTTAGTCCCTGCAAAATTAGACTTTTATTGATCAACTCTGATCTTTGAATTATAAATGTAAAAACAGTATTATACATTGCCAGCATTTGGTTTTAGGTGCTAAAGTGAAAAGTTTTTCTCACAACTCCAAAAGTCTAGTTCTTGCTTGCTATCAGGAAAGAAATGTAAATTAGTAGGACTTCCTAGGCAGTGTGTTTTTGAAGTCTATAGTGGTTTTTACAATTCATACTTCAGCAATTTGTAAAAGAGTAGTTTGACAACTGTTTTGCACTAGGAGATGCCAGCTCATTATGATCTCAGTAAAAAAAAAAGCACTCAGACTCTGTAAGGTATTATTTAAAATGCTATTTATTAGAGGTAATGCTATAAAGAAAGAGAGGACAGTACAGAAAATCCTAGGTTCCTTCAGATGCTGGGAACCCTGAGCAAAATTACAGAACAGAGGAACTTGGTCCAGGGGCTCTGTTTTCTGGGAAAGCAAGTATAATAATTTCCCAAAATAGTACTGTTAGTTCATACTTACCTCCTTTCATCACTCGCTGTCTGGCTCTAGGCTTACAGAAGGAGCCGATTAATCCTTTGTACTAAAATTGAGATTCATTTATGTCACTGCTCAGTTTGAAGTCTCTGTTGGTCCTTGAAATCCTTCTGGACAGATATGTGGGGAGAAGTGACATGTTGTATAAGACAAGCGTATATTTGTTAATTATTTCAATGTTGAATATTCTACCGAATCATTTAATGTAGCAGTTGAGGGGATATTTCAGCCATTAGGGGTATTTGTAGTTGCCAGCCAAAAAAAAATCTATATTCTTTTTATGACTGTCATAGGGCTAAAAGTTGCTTCATTTTGGCTATGAAGAACTCTCTGAGATGGAGTTGGTAGAAAAAATCCCCACATGTTAAAGGCTGGCCAGGTTGTTTCTCACAACAGGCAAAAGTGTGTCTAGTGAAAGGTATTCCCTTTCCTGAAAACCTTTGCCTTGTCAGTATTCTTTGTTTCTTGAGGAAATAATTAACTTCTGCAGCATTCTCTGAAAACTGAATATCTTATTGGAACAAGATATTCAATCAGGGCACAAATGTTCCTCAGGATTTTTGTCAATAAAAATTTGGCTACAGAGAATGTATTGGAAGAAGAGATGCTACATTTATGATAAAATAACCTATTTTTGCCAGAGGTGGGTACAAGGCAAAAATGGATTCTCTGTAACAGAGCCTCTCATCTCCCAAACCCAATAGTTACTTCTTGTCAGCATAGTTATGACAACATTTTGGTGGGCTGAACCCCGTCCAAGGTATCATTCCCACTGCACTGTAAGGTCTTGCATCTGCAAGGATGCATAGGTACTAGGGAAGTGGTTCTACCCCAAGGAAAGTAAGAGCTCAGGATTGCCACCTTCCTTGTTGATAGTTGTAGTTTGGATGCTTTGGGCTAGTAATCCATCCTTTCACTACCAGTTGTCGATGTCCAGAAGAGATTAGGTGTCACCTGATCTAACTGCCACTCCACTTCTTTTCCCTCATCTTATTTTTGAGCTTGTAAACTCTTCCTTTAATACTGTAACTTCTTCCTTTAATATTCTTTTATCATTTGGCTGTAGTATGAAGTCTGCAGAGATGTTAGTAAGTTCTTCCTTTAATATTCTTTTATCATTTGCCTGTAGTATGAAGTCTGCAGAGATGTTAGTTCTTTCATGCTCCATGCTGTTCTGGTACAAGTTTCTTAGAACTTTCTTTAATTCAATCTTTTTCTCATTTTATATATTCTTTTTTAAAAGGAATTTATTGATTCTGGTTTCAAGTATAAGAATTCTACCCCTACAATTTTTAGTTTAATGTTTCTTTACTGTTATTATTCATCCCTCCATTGTTCAACTCCAAATAACCTCAAAAATGCCTCCTTAAACTTTGTTATAGACAATTTAGTAACTCCCAGTCAGTTGAACTAATAATACCCATTCATGGCACCGGCAACTGTGTCTTTAAAGCTGAGGTTTCCTGAGCAGAGAAGCTGGGAGAATATCAAGATTTTCTAACTGCTACAGAGAGCCAGCTGGAACAACACAATCCTCCTTTAGCCTGTTAGCTGTGAGTGATCCCTGAACTCCATACTTTCAACAAAATCTAAACTCTTGAGGGAGTTTCTAAAATTATAAAACCAAAGCCCTGAGAAGACATGAAAAATACATAAAAATCACATGAGCTTCTCTAGTAAACTAAGCATAAGTTTATTTCACCTGAGGCCTCAGCTACTTTCTTCACCCTCTCAAAACTCTTTTTTTCCTTTTTCTCTGTGATAAATTCATGCAGTCTAGCTAGTCATCAGACAACAAAAATAAATTTGTAAGCCTCCCTCCATGGTGCCTTTTTCTGGGAATCAGAAGCCTCCTGTGGAGCACAAATCCCTCACAAACACTGTGTCAGAAGAAAGGAAAATCAAGGCTATTTCAGCCTGGGTATCTGCTTTAAAACCCAAAATGAATGCTGTTGTCTCATTTTAATCCGGGGGAGCAACACTGTTAGACCAGCTTCCAGCTGGGGCACAGGTGTGCTCTGCCTGAATATCTCACCCCAGTTGTTTTGGGGTAGGAGCAGACAGTGACCACAGCTCCAAGCTGTGTGGGAGCACGCTTAACCAAGAACAGATTGGCTTGAGCACCGACCTGTCAAAGACGGCTCTTATCTCTTATTGCTATAATTACACGTATACTATACACCACATTTACCTCTACTCTGAAAATGTGCGGAGCATTTTTTGTTAAGTTTCAGAGTTAGGCTCTTCGGAAATCTGCTCCATAGTATGGTACTACAGGTGGGGTTTTTTTCAATGGAGGAGCAAAAAAGTGAGGAGTAGGCATTCTGCGTGGGGTGATGGTGGGGGTCAAAGAGGTCCAGAACAGCTCCAACAGTGTATGGCAAAATGGTCAGCCGTTCAAAGCAGAAATTGTGTTTTTATTTCCAGACCATCCAACTGCAAGCAGCCCACGTGACTCAAAATCATTCTCCACCACCTATGAAGAGGCACTAGGTAGGTAATCCTCTGTCATTCAAAAGACAGTTTCCAGAAGCCTGTCAGATTGCCTTCTAAGGGGGGGTTATTACAGATTTTGCTCAGAAGAAAAACAAACAAACAAAAAGTCTGACATTTCAGGAATAAACAACCTTATACTGTACACTCATAGGATGAGCTCTCAAGGCCAGAGACATTTCACATTTTCATCTTCTTTAAAAGTAATGCTTAGTCAGCACTGCATTACTGTTTCAGAAAGAAGAACAACTGATTTACTCCTCTCATGCTAGTGCAGAGGAGCCTGTGGGTAGGTGAATGGACATGAATGTAACAGTCCCTTTGGTATCACAGCATTGTAGTGAGCATTATGGATCAATGTGCACGTACTGCTTTTCAAATACCCCTCCATTCTTAGCATTTTAACTAAGTGCAATTCCCTTTTTCTGTTTAGGAGCTACTGGATAACCAAAAAAATTATATCACGCAGTCCCTGTCTCCCTGAATCATATCACCCTTTCCAGGTCTCATTCTCTGTTCCTCCTGGTACCCTACCTGGCAATGGAAAGAAATGTTCTTTCTTTGAGTAGCATCACTATTGCCATATTTTGCAGCAGGCAAATAAGACTTTTGAAAACCAAAAGGTGCTTTTTGCCCTAACCATTTCTCTTTATCTCGTGAGCAAAGATTTAAAAGGGTGGATAATGTTATCTGTGATTCTACTTCTCTGACTCATGCCTAGTGACTCTTGGGCTGGTATTAGTTACAGAGACTGGCAGAGATCCCTGGTGGTCTGGTGAAAATTATAAGCAGGACCACACAGGTACTTTTCTGGCTGTAACTTACTTTCTTACATTTCTTTTGTAATGGGATCCTTTTGTTAGTGTGAGCATGGATTTTTCCACACCTGTTCTTCCCTCCTGCAGACTGCCCCCCAAGTTGGGAAAAAAAGGGGAAAAAATGCTACTTCTTTTCTGAAATCCAGGAAAAAAAAGACTTCAACGCCCTCCGTAAAGAATGTACTGACATGAATTCAGACCTGGTGATCATTGACAATGAGGAAGAACTGGTGAGATCTAAATCCATGCTTCTAGGGTTGCTTGACCTGTATGCCAAATGGCTGATGGGTTACATTTTTGTCTTCTCATGTTAGATGTCTTTGGGGGGACTATAATCTACTGCTAGCTGTATACATCAAGCACGTCTGTATGGTAGCAAACACCTTCACAGTACGATGCATCTTGGTTCTTGAAGTCTTGCATCTGGAAGCTTCTCTCCCCAAGCATGCTCCCATGGGAAAGAGCAAACTCTCTGCTTATGTGACACGTTTTAAAGGGATTTAGCACACAAACCAAGACCAAGCAGATCGAACAGACACTTATTTGTGAGAGCCATTGCTTTGACAAAAACTGAAAAGGCTTTCCCATCACAATCAGAATAGAAAAGTGTCTCCAGGTATCAAGTCACACCTGGCTAACTACAATGTATAGCTTTAGTGGTATCACAGGTGTATTATTCTATTTAGTCTATTCCTAAGAAGCCCCAGGAAGAGAGATGAGATTAAATAAAAATGGAAAAGTTCAGCCTCTGAAGCTGTGGAAAGAGATGGTGTGGCTGGATGCACATTGTTCTTTCTGTGTTGGCTATTTAGCACTAAGCTCTCTGTGTACCTCTGGTGAAGAAAAAGTAATTTTAATGTATTATCATTGTTTGTTTCCTTTCTAGCATTATCTTACTTCACGATCAAGTGGTCATTACTACTTACTTGGTCTCAAATACTCTACGAGCGAGAAGAAGTGGAAGTGGATTAACAACGTGGAACATAGCACAAACTTGTAAGCTTATTCCAGCAAGTCACTGTGATGCGACATCTGGAAACAGTAAAAAAAACCAAACCCAGAGCCAACAACAGGGGGTACAAGTGCGATCAGGGTCTGAAATTTGTAGCAACCTGATTCCTTGAGATTCAGGTGCTTCAGCACATCGCTGTGACAAGTCAAAGGGAGCCCATAAATGAGTCACATGGGAACACAGGCATGTCACATCAGGATGGCAAGAGAGGACACAGCTGTAGTGCTGGTGGGGAAGGAGGAATCTGACTAGATGGAGTTCAGTGGGGAAAGAAAGGATATATCAGACAGGTACAAGAGAAAGTGTGATGTCAGCACCATTGAACGGAGGCTACCAAAGAAGGGGAAGGTCTCTGGATGGGAAAGCATAGCCCATATACTTTTGCTGAGGTCTGGGGAAGAAAATTAAGGAATGGGAGGGAGACTCCAACAAGGCAGCTTCTAATCCCACTGACAATAATATAGCTTAGCAGCAAGGCCAGGTGCCACTGTCTTTCATGGAAGCGATACTGACTGCATTGCACCCGGCTAGGTCAGGAATGCAACTAAATCTGACTTTCTCTCCCTGTTCAGGATTACTATAAGAGGAGACTTTACTGACTATTTCTGCAGTGTCATTGGACATGGCAAAATAGAAACTGCGTCTTGCAGTGGATCCTCAACAACGCAAAATATGTGTGAAAAAGCTGCAAGTATTTCAGAAAGGCAGAAGGAGAGCTAAAACCAAGAGGTCCAGGCAGGAATGTCATCCCCAGGTTCCTGCAGGAATGATGGATGGGATTTGTCTCACTTATCTTTAGCTGCCTAAATATCTAGTCAAAGGGACTCTTACAGGCTTCCTCTAGACACCTTGCCAAGCTTAGCACATTCTTTCCCAAGATGGCTGTCCGAGACTGGAAGGATCCCCCTCTAGAGGAGCCTGCATTTTCACACATTAGGAGTCTGGGTGACTTGCTCATACCAGATGCCTGACTTTCAGGCAGCCACTGTTAGGTGATTGACTCCAACCTCAGTGATAGGTGTGATCACAAACAGATCCTATCTCTCATAGACACATGCATATATATCCATACATTCACAGTCCTACTTGTGCACAAGGAGACACTTCAAAGCCTTGCTATGCATTCGTCTTCCCTGCAGCCACAAATGAAGGTTAACACATATTTATATTTTGGATCCTGTAGAAAAGTGCAACTACACTCATTGCCATGTGTCATAGATATGATTGACAGGACAAAGACAAATGTGTGTGTGTATAAACCTTACTTTGTAAAAGACTGTCTCTGTTAAAAAAACATACTGGATACCAGACCCTGTGAGGCTAAAATGTGATTCATCAAAAGAGAAATGATCCTACACCACAGCTCTACGAATAAAATCACCACTAGTCCTGTGTAGGTCAGGGAAAGTATATCAGATTTAGACTTAGCCCTGCTGGGGAAGGGCATAGGTTGAAGAGCAGTAGAGACCACCATAGCCTGAAAAACAGAGTCACAATAATAGCTCAACTGGACAGAAAATAGTCAAATCAAAACCACAGTTACCTGTGAAGAAGCTGGTGCGAAGTGTAAGAGTGACCTACAGAGAACGACAACACAGCAGACTGTCCTGGTTTTCTTGGATAATGATCAAAGGAGAAAATCATGCATGAAGGTTTTTCCTGCACAGAAAAGTTAGAGCCAACACCAGAAACAGGTGGTATCAGTAGAGCAGAAATGTGACCAGCAAACAGTGAATATTACCAAAGCTCTTCCAATGTGCTTCAGCAGCTCTTGGGACCCTGGGGCTTTTGTGACTCAAGGATTATTATTCTTACCGTGTCCTTTGAGGCAGAATCATTCCTACTTAAAATGGTGCCATTCATGGCTCTCTCCTTCATCTGCAGGATGGAGAAAGCTCTGTGAATTCCCTGATGCAGTGACAGTGATGTCATACTTTCTCACTGAAAAAAAAAAGGTTTTGCTTAATCAAAGAATTTCTACTCAGAATGTTGTGACCAAGGGTAGTGAAAATGAAATCATATGGGGAAAACTCTCTCATTCTGACTTAAAAGCACATTTTGATGTCCCTCAGACAAGCAATACTTCTCACTGCCCTCATTCATCAAGACTCTTCTGAAATATATTTGTATTTCCCCCACTGACCTTTAAACACCAAAGAACAAAGTAAGAATACGTAGCTGTAACAGAATAATCTCAATGGCAGCAACCAGAATCTAAACTATTATTTCCGAAGGAAGCTGTGCTGGAGGGGCCATTTGTTTGTACTCAGTTTACTGGAGGGGGTGGGAGAGGGCTCTGTATTGTGTTATGGAGCAGCCTGGAGGAGGGCTGCCCTTTTATTTTCATATTCCAGCTGCTGCCCTTTGATCAGGTGGGCTCTACTGAGGGCAAGGGGCAGGGAAATATCTCTTCCCTGGGAGACACTGGACCTAGGGGGAATTTGGAGGCTTCAGCAAGCACCAGATCCAAGCAGCTATGCATCAGAAAACAGGTGACAGAAACAGGGAAGCTGCCCTAAGGCCACTGCCACTGGGGCAGTGGATGATGGACATGAAGTCCGTCAAACCCAGAAAGCCACAGAAAGTCACAGGACTAAGGAGCAAAGACGGCTTAGAAGCAAATCTTTAACAAGGGAGGAAGTTTGATTTAAAGTGGTTTATTTACTCTGCCTCTGTGCTTTCTTTATTCACAAAGTTATCTTTTTCTGATTCTGTTATCCTAGTTTTTAAATAAACCTAAAGTTTACAGTTTGGGATTCTTTGATTATCTTTTGGCACGCCCACTGCAAAGAAAAGATGAAACATTTCACACTAACTCTGACTTGGTCAGGGTCTCATCCTGATGCCAAGGACAGGGAATCCCAAACCAATCCAAACCTAACCTCCCAAAACTTCTGTGGTTGGTGCCTGCAGAGAATTACAAGGTTAGTTTTAACTCTTTATGCTGTTGGGCAATAGGCTGAAACTCATTTGGATAGGTCAGGTTGACAGTGTCAGCCTCATAGGGCACATCCTGGACACATGGCAGGCTCCATTATTGACCATTATCAAGAAGAACTTGCAACTGAGGGACACCTCCAAGAGGTGCTCCTCAGGGCTTGTCCTATTTCCATAGACCTGTATCCCAGTGTGTTTCAAGAAAAATCCCCTCAGCTATATTGCTGCTGCTGAAGGGACTAACCAAGTGAACCCAGGGTAGTCACAATGCAGAAGCGGCCCTAGGAAAGTGTGCTCAGCATGCTGGCAGCGAGGCACAGAGCTGAAGTCTGCCACAGAGCTGCATCCTGGGGATGTCCTTTGTCAGAAGGGCCATTCTTTGCAGCCCTGTTTCCACCATCCTGTCTACACTTGAGCCAACAAAAGGCAGGGTTTGTTTGATTTAAAATTATTTTCACAAAAACGCTCAGCAGCTTTAAAATGAAAAGATACATTTATCACACTGGGTTGTCCCATTCTTGCAACAATGCTATCCCCTACAGTCTGTGTTAGGATGGTAGGCAATTTATGCTCCAGTCACCGACTGTTATCAAATTCCACTGAAAATCTATATAAAAACATTTGAAAAACCCTCAAAATTTACAAGTTAGGAAACACCAGGTTTCCCAGTCACCCAGGATTAACTGGGTTACTCTGCTCAGTTACTGAATGGGGCAATGTTCCTCCAGCCTCACTTCTTTAGTTGGTGAGATTTGTCTTTTTCACTTCTAGCTGTGATGCCGCTGACATAAAAACATGATTTCCGTGCAATTCTCCCCCTGCTCAGTTTGATTTTAGTTAACCGGAATGATCCCTTCATGAAAGTATCAACAAACAGAGCTAAGTGGCTGAGTACATGCTGAAGAGAAAATGTGTGTGTGTGTGTATGCATATATACTTCTAGCTGTGATGCCGCTGACATAAAAACATGATTTCCATGCAATTCTCCCCCTGCTCAGTTTGATTTTAGTTAACCGGAATGATCCCTTCATGAAAGTATCAACAAACAGAGCTAAGTGGCTGAGTACATGCTGAAGAGAAAATGTGTGTGTGTGTATGCATATATGCATACACATAGACACAGATATACACATTAACCCTCTGAAAAGCTTCCTTGGTTAAAACTGTTTGCTGATTAAGCTCTGCCTACATTCCATTTTAAGGAGTTGCCATTCTGAAAAGAAGAAAAAGCCTTTTTTGCTGATTCAACTACTAGATGAAGAGGACCATGGGAGGAGAGAAGGATCATTTCCAGCACAGGAAATGAAAGTTTCATCCATATAGGGGTTTTTTTGGTTGGTTGGTTGGTTGGTTTTTGTTTGGGTTTTTTTGTTTATTTGTCCTAGTCCTGATAACTTATGCTTGAGCATGTTGAGTACATACCAAATCTTTGGAGAGGAAGTTACCAGACTCTACTGAGTCTCTAATGAGCATGTACAAACTGAGATATAGGGAGGCTGCATTTAGGGGAAAGGGTAATTTCCCTATCAAATTTCTAATCTCCATTGGTGGAGATGCTATAAAGTTTCATGTTTGTTTTTCCTAGTCCTGATAACTTATGCTTGAGCATGTTGAGTACATACCAAATCTTTGGAGAGGAAGTTACCAGACTCTACTGAGTCTCTAATGAGCATGTACAAACTGAGATATAGGGAGGCTGCATTTAGGGGAAAGGGTAATTTCCCTATCAAATTTCTAATCTCCATTGGTGGAGATGCTATAAAGTTTCAGTGAAATGGCCATATATATACTTTTAACATGACTAAAAATATGCTTTTTTCCTTATTTCAGCCTTAGAAGTAACAGAATTATTGAACTGAGGCTTAAACTATAGGTGTTACTGTTTGCCCCCCCTATAAAAAAAGAAAAAACCAAATGTTTCTAAAAGTGCCTGTTGATATTGGCTTGCTTTTAAAAGGCCAGTTTTGCTTTCTCACCTACAACTTTCTTAAGAAAGGGACTTTTCTATATGAACAGAAATGCTTGGCGTAGCCCTGACTGGTAGGAGTTTCCTACAGACCCCCTTGCTCCTCCTGGTCCTAGACTAGAGTTTGAGTGCAAGTGAGCAGTACAAAGGCTTCCTACAATTAAGCCAGCGCTTGAAGTCTCTGTTGCAATTAGTACAGCTATTTTGTCTAGGTGTGATATTTTCTTGATGCAGATTGGTTAGTTATTACTCTCTAATGTAGATCTGATATAAGGTAGCTTACACTTGTAAAGCATATTCTCTTTCCTTCATGAGCTGAACAGCAGAGTGACTGTATAGTAGCTATGCCTGTGTGATTAAAGTTTTAAAATTTTCAGCATTATAAAGGCCTGAAAATGCATGAACCTTCTTTCTTGAGGGTTCATCTTTAAAAAAAGGTGAAGCTGGGCCTTTATTTGGCTTCCAGACTTTGTGGGTGTTTATATACATGTATTTATCTTTTTAGAGAAATAGACAACCCCAGAGTATAAAGAAAAAACCCAACATATTTGAAGTACTATATTTTTGGAAACATATTTTTGCTTTCATCTTTGAATTCCCAAATTCAGCATGGTTTGCTAGAAAAAGTAGCCTTATGACAAAAATACCTCAACAAAGTCACCAAAGGGAAATCCAGCTGGAGATTAAGGCAGTTAGATGCTAATCAGAAACCAAAACACTGAAAGGTAAGTCTCACTTCTAGTGTTATCAAGATGCTAGATTTATCTGCTAGAGATGGAGACCATGGACGTGTTTAAAACCAGCTGAGGTGTTTTGCTTTGAGGGGAACTGCAGTACAGTTTTAGGGAGGGAGGCTTTAAAAAAATGAGTTCAAAAGGACACTAAGTTAGGACAAAAGCTTTAGATTATGGTAGAAATTACTTAGGAAAACAGCATTTCACATTTTCCAAAAGAAAAGGAAACAACACAGCAACAAACAAGTATGACAAATGCTAAGCTTTCAAGGTGACGTGAGTCCCACGGGCCTCTTTTAGGCATAGGAATATATTCTGCTGGAAGTCAGTGGAAAGGAGTGTAAATTGTAAAAGATCAT